CCAGCAAAAAAAAAAAAAGAGAACTACAGGCCAATATCCCTGATGAATATGGATGCAAAAATTCTCAACAAGATACTAGCAAATAGAATTCAACAGCATATAAAAACAATTCTTCACCATGATCAAGTGGGATTCATTCCTGGGCTGCAGGGCTGGTTCAACATTCGCAAATCAATGTGATACATCACATTAATAAGGAAAAGAACCATATGATCCTGTCAATCGATGCAGAAAAAGCATTTGATAAAATTCAGCCTTTGTTAATAGAAACCCTCGAGAAAGTCGGGATAGAAGGAACATACTTAAACATCATAAAGCCGTTTATGAAAAGCCCACAGCTAATATCATCCTCAATGGATGCTTTCCTCGAGATCAGGACCACAACAGGGATGTCCACTCTCACTGCTGTTGTTTAACATAGTGTTGGAAGTGCTAGCATCAGCAATCAGACAACAAAAGGAAATTAAAGGCATCAAAATTGGCAAAGATGAAGTCAAGCTTTCACTTTTTGCAGATGACATGATATTGTATATGGAACACCCAATAGACTCCACCAAAAGTCTACTAGAACTGATACATGAATTCAGTAAAGTCACAGGATACAAAATTAATGTACAGAAATCAGTTTCATTTTCATACACTAATAATGAAGCAACAGAAAGACAAACAAACTGATTCCATTCACGATTGCACCAAGAAGCATAAATACGTAGGAATAAACCTAACCGAAGATGTAAAAGACCTGTATGCTGAAAACTATAGAAAGCTTATGAAGGAAATTGAAGAAGATACAAAGAAATGGAAAAACATTCCGTGCTCAATGATTAGAATAAATATTATTAAAATGTCAATACTACTCAAAGCAATCTACACATTCAATGCAATCCCAACCAAAATTGCACCAGCATTCTTCTCGAAGCTAGAACAAGCAATCCTAAAATTTGTATGGAACCACAAAAGACCCCGAATAGCCAAAATAATATTGAAGAAGACCAAAGCAGGAGGCATCACAATTCCAGACTTTAGCCTCTACTACAAAGCTGTAATCATCAAGACAGCATGCTATTGGCACAAAAACAGACACATAGACCAATGGAACAGGAGAGAGACTGCAGCATTGGACCCACAAATGTATAGTCAACTAATCTTTGACAAAGCAGGAAATAATATCCAATGGAAAACAGTCTCTTTAACAAATGGTGCTGGGAGAACTGGACAGCAACATGCAGAAGAATGACCTAGTCCACTTTCTTACACCATTTACAAAAATAAACTCAAAATGGATAAAGGACCTGAATGTGAGACAGGAAACCATCAAAACCCTAGAGGAGAAAGCAGGCAAAAACCTCTCTGACCTCAGCTGCAGCAATTTCTTACTTGACCCATCTCCAAAGGCAAGGGAATTAAAAGCAAAAATGAACTATTGGGACCTGATGAAGATAAAAAGCTTCTGCACTGCAAGGAAACAATGAACGAAACTAAAAGGCAACTGACACAATGGGAGAAGATATTTGCAAATTACATATCAGACAAAGGGCTAGTATCCAAAATCTATAAAGAACTCACCAAACTCTACACCCAAAAAACAAATAATCCAGTGAATAAATGGGCAGAAAACATGAATAGACACTTCTCTAAAGAAAACATCCAGATAGCCAACAGGCACATGAAAAGATGCTCAACGTCACTCCTCATCAGGGAAATAAAAACCAAAACCACACTGAGATATCGCCTCACACGAGTCAGACAGAGTTGCTAAAATGAACAAGTCAGGAGACTATAGATGGTGGAGAGGATGTGGAGAAACGGGAACCCTCTTGCACTGTTGGTGAGAATGCAAACTGGTGCAGCCACTCTGGAAAACAGTGTGGAGGTTCCTCAAAAAATTTAAAAAATAGATCTACCCTATGACCCAGGAATAGCGCTGCTAGGAATTTACCCAAGGGATACAAGAGTGCTGATGCATAGGGCACTTGTACCCCAATGTTTATAGCAGCACTTTCAACAATAGCCAAATTGTGGAAAGAGCCTAAGTGTCCATCAACTGATGAATGGATAAAAAAAATTGTGGTTTATATACACAATGGAATACTACTTGGCAACGAGAAAGAATGAAATATGGCCTTTTGTACTAATGTGGATGGAACTGGAGAGTGTTATGCTAAGTGAAATAAGTCATACAGAGAAAGACAGATACCATATGTTTTCACTCTTCTGTGGCTCCTGAGAAACGTAACAGAAGACCATGGAGATGGGACAGGGGAAAAAAAAAGTTAGGGAGGGAGGCAAACCATAAGAGACTCTTAAAAACTGAGAATAAACAGACAGTAGATGGGAGGTGCGAGGGAGGGGAAAGTGGGTGATGGGCATTGAAGAGGGGACCTGTTGGGATGAGCACTGGAGGTTGTATGGAAACCAATTTGACAATAAATTTCATATTAAAAAAAAAGTCCATCCTTCTATTTACCATTGTGTAATAAAGTATGCTACTTACTTCAAGAAAAAAAATAGTAATCAAGCATAAAAATGAGATTCTCAGGTATGAAAAATAAATTAATCGTATTAATTATTAGGATTTGTGAACAAATTAATGCCAGAAAATAAAGCATTACATACAGTTTTTTTAGGAAAAAAATTATCTGTGGACCAAGCATTTTAACATCAGTTAATTTTTTTTCAAGTGCAAAGGCCAAGATAATTTCAGGTACTATATGTATATAGACTCAGAATATATTCTACAAATATATCTTTATTGAGTATAAATCACTTAAGATAGCTACTGATTGAATTAAAATTAGTAATCAAGGAAAAAAGAATGTGGTAAAGTTTCAAAACTGTCATAAGAGACCTGAGGAAAAATCATTTTCAGGCTGTGATTATATTCCTCAAACAAAATTAATGGCAAATGTGAATGCTTTGGTGTTTCCATTTACACTGGCATCTGTATACAACTAAAAGAAAATACTTCAATGTGGAAAATTATACTTCACATTAAAACAAAAGATAAAAGAAATTTCTCCAGAAATTTCCCTCCTTAAAATCAAGGTCTCCTACTAAATTCAGCTATTAAATATGTTTGTATTAAATTGAATATTGTATTAATAAATACCATGTTTGGAAAGGATATAGTACTCATGTTTGATAGGTATTTCTTTTATTCTCTTGGTTACTCATAATTCCCATTAAAAGTGTGAGCATTAAAAAGTACAAAAGATAGGAAATTTTTTTCTGAGTGCCATACATCAAATCTATATTTTACATAGTTTAATTAAATGAATTTCATATACTTCTCAAGGTTTTATACTGTTGAGTAGAATGTACAACTTTTGTGAAGAATATCCTTATCATTGACTTTGCATTCTCCTCTTACCACTTGTGATTTTCAGAGAAGTCCTGAGTTTCGGTGCTGAAGAGGCCAACCCCTTCAAGACTAACTTGTTTAGCTTACAGGCCAGGGCTCCAGCGTGTATAATTGATTTCTAGAGCTGACTTCCTCCAATTTTATCAGACTGCATTGGAAAACTAAAAGATCCTCATATAATCTTCCTTATTATATTCCCTCTTGACATTGCAAAGAAAAAAATACCCACAAAACACTGAACCATGCTTATCATAGCTAACAGAAGAAAATAACTTTTATAATTTAGGTACTTACTAACTCATGAACCTTCAATTATCAATGTTATAAATAAATTATTCATACCAGGAATTTAAAAAAAAGAGATTCTTATAGTATCAGTTTAAATTAGCTAACAATGAATCCACAATCCACCTTGACATTTGTTGGATATTTTGAGAATTGTAGCCAAGCCCAGCTATAACCGTATAAGATAAGCAGAGAGCCTACCTTTAATGAGCTCTCTGGAGAAGCTAATTCTACAACCTTTGGAAACACACTGACAATATTTAATAAAATTTACATGATGTACCTATGGAAAGAAAGATTTAAACGTCTTTATGAAAGACATCATGAGCTCTATAGAGCTGGGGTACTGGTTGTATGGTGGTGAGAATAAGGAGTGCCCTTTGTTGAGCCCCATATGGTTAACAAAGTTTGTTTTATTGAACCGGTTGTATGATATATGAGACAAGTATAGTGCAGGAAATGTGGTGCCACCAAATAATAAGTATTTACTATTTTAGTTTATTGAACTGAGGCCTCACAAAAACTTTATGAAACAGATGACACTGCCTTATTTTGCAGTTCAGGGAAAGGACTCAGAGGTCAACTAGCTTTCTCAAGATCACACGGCAGACACTATTTGAAAACACAAGTTGATATCAATGCTTCCACAGAGAAATCTGCTATATTGTGGGGTTTCTTTTTGTTTTTAAGAAGATTATTTTATTAGCTGAATTTTATATTCCCAGGTGTTTTCTTATACTGCTGACAAAGAAATCCGAACTGATGATTTGTGCTTGGATGTGTCTAGACTCAGCGGACCTGTAATCATGTTAAAATGCCACCACATGAGAGGAAATCAGTTATGGGAATATGATGCGGAGGTACAGTATTTTCTTCAATTTACTTATCATTTAGTGCTTAAACTCATTTATAGATTTCAAATACATTTAAATGCTAAGCTACTTTTTCTGCATTGGAAGAACTGTATTTTCAAGCATGCACGCCTCTATCTGATAGCATGAGGATGGTATAGCATATAAATAGGTTTTTGCCAAACTAGCCCACTAGTGTAAAACACGAATAAGGAAAGTAAATTCATTTTTATGTGCTTAAAACGTGTTATCACATGTACATGCTTCATATAAGTTAGGCAAGCGGCCAGCTACACTTAGGTGAGAGGTATATATGAAGATGTGCATTACAGGACAATATCAACAATATTTTCAAATTTTAAACTTTACAGCTTCCCAACTTAAAGGAAAAAAGAAACAAAGCTGATAAGATTAGCAAGAATGCTCTTTATAATGGTAAATACTTTGCAAAATTCGATAACCTAATTAGGTACATAATCAGCCAAGCAGCATTTCCTCAATGTAGTACATCTTTCTGATAGAAGAGAGGGAGAGAAAACAATAAAATTACTGTTGGGAATTTATAGCCAGGCTGTGTGTAAAAACCAGATCAACCATCAGATGGAGCTAATAAAAAAGAAATATTTTCTTCTCCATAAGGAAGTTGCCTTGAAACAGCTTCGTTCCTTTCCACTCCCTTTGCTTAACAAAATGAATTGGGTCATCCGTGTTACATTTTCCTCATTAAATGGTTGGTGACTTAAAATAAGAACTATTCTTGCAAGATAAATAATGCACTAGAGGTAAACAAATTTCACAAATGCACTGTTTACCTAAGCCTAAAATACTCTGCAAGTGTAACATTTTAAAAACCAATCTATAGTCGTTGGTATTATTGATATTGTAATAATGTCTTCTTTTAAAAAACTTTTTGAATGTCCTTCCAATTTGCATGATGTTGTAGTTTCTTAGCAGGAAAACTTACTGAATTTTTATGTAATTTGAAATTGATTATGTAGGGTTAAAATTTGGCTCCAAAATTTATATAATCAAGCTCTTTGGACATAAAATATTCTTCTTCTGTGATATAATTAAGGGCAAACATCCTGAATCATTCCGATAATGCACCAGTGCGTTCTATTCAGACTCGTCTTCTCTGTACCTTGTTCACCTTTGTCTGACCCCCATTTTTTCTCTTGAGCTATCATCATCACCACCCTTTATATTAAGACTGCAGAAGATACTTCCTTTAATAATACATGGGGGTAAACCTGGACCCTTGGCTCTCTCCTTCTGTACAGTACAGATAAATGTACAGATAAAGGAGAAATCCTACAACTAGCATTTTTTTTAAATAAAACTTTATGTTGCTGTTGCTCTTTAGTTTTCGCAATGAACCCAGAACTTTATTGGCCTGGTATTAAAAATTAAGAAATCTAGAATATATATTTATAAGGAAAGGAGGAGTATATGTACTTTTGATAAGGTAAAGCAGTGTTGAATTTCAGAGTACCACTTTTAATCTTCAAACTTTCCTTATTTTTTGAGTGGGCAATGGCTACTATGGTCATAACTCAGATTCTTTAATTTCTGAAATAACTATATTATTGGTACTTAGGTGTATATTTTGTTTACGTTTTTATCAGCCAGCAGTTTTTATCAGCCCTGTTGAATACTAAGGGATTTTGAAAGAAAAGAGAAAAAAAAATAGATTGCTTCACCTAAGACAAATAAATAGTTTTTGTAAATTTACTATTTTGGATGACTAGTAGTTAGCTACTGTAGTATTTTTATAGCATTGGAATATTTTGTGTCATGTAAACTTCATTTCTGGAACACACATAAAAAAGCTTATAATATTCCATAAATATTGAGAAATGTTTAGGTTTTAAAAGATCTGGATCATAGTAATAATTATATAACATACTTTACCCTCGTATGTTTGTTTTTAAAATTAAATCGTGATGTTCAACTTGTCTAAAATTAATATTTAAGTCCTAGTATAGATTTTTTGCCAAATTTGTGAGTGCATAAATCATACTGTGGAGAGGTCATAAGAGAATAGAATAATTGTAGGAATAATGAATCACCTTTCTGGAATTTTCAGCTTTGAAATAAGACTGATTTTATTTGTAAAAAAGTCAGAAGAATAGAGACTTTTTTTAAAAAGAAATTTAAATCTAATACTTAGTCTACAGAACAGTCCCAACTCCTACCACTCAAAGTGTGATTCTCAGACTAGGAACATCACCTGGGAACTTTTTGGAAATTTGGAATTTTACAAGACTATATCGGAGTCTGCATCTTAACAAATCCCCAAGTCATTTACATACATATTAAAGTTTGAGAAGGTCTAGACAGTGGCCAAACATCTACTTATCTTCCTTAGTCTTTTTATAAACTGTTGGAATTATTGCAAAGTTAAGAAAAGGCATAAATATACTTTGGAAAATGACAGGCCTTCAGGAGAGATGGGGGAGGGATAGGGAGTAAAGGGTGAGAGGTGCTGGGAAAGAGGAGTCATTGCCAAGTAGTGCTGGTCTTCTGGCATCCACCCTGTGGGAAGTAGAAAGTGGTACTTGCTGCTTCTTTAATTCAGTTATTTATCTACTGCTATCAAAGGCAAAATTAGTTTTCTTTGAGGAACCTGAGGGTGGTATACTATCAAAGCAGAATAAAACTTGGTGGAGTTCACAGGATTACAAGAGCTGAAACTTTTCTTAAAGTTCTCTTCGTTCAGCCTTTATCAGGCAGGAAGTAAGCACAAAGATCACACTGCCAGCGATGGGGGCAGAAATGACATTCTAATATAGTAATTGAAGAAAGCTAGTGACTGGTACAACCGCAAATCTCACAGTGTGTACAACTGAAACATTCCATCACCTCATCTCCCATAGCACTTTCAATTTTAGAAAAGTCATTAATAGGAGAATTAGAAAATCCAGAGAAAAATTCAAACAGTATCATAAAGCCTCAAAACATGGAGCCTCTCCAGTTTGTTTGCTTCTTGGGTGAGTGAAGGGAAAAGCGAAGGGAATGAAATTTAGAGTGTCTATAACTTCATCTGTTTTCTCAAAAAATTCTAATAGTAGTCCTGTAAGATATTATTATTATTTGTATTCTTTATATTAGTAAATGTAAGCTTACAGTGTTAAAACAGTTTCTCTAGGTTTTAGACCCCAGGTTTCTGGCACCGAATCCAGCAATTTTTCCACTACCCTACATTGCCTTTTGAGGTCATTGAAAAACTAGAAACAATTTGATGCTTTTAATGACGCTGATCTGATAAGCTAAACGTGTATTATTATAAATGAAAGGGATTAAATATCATCAATTATCAATTGGTTAAATAAAATTTACCAATTTTACTCACATAGAATTTCTCCTTTCCTTAATATTTGGAAAGATGTTCTGCAATAGACTATTTAGACGAACAGTCATAAAACCACTTTGTCAGTATGGTCTAATTGCTTACGAACTTTATACATATTCATAATTTAATATCTAATTGGTTCTCCTTTTATTTGAGTGAAACTAAGCACATGTTGGCAACAGATACATGTCTTTGGCCAACTTTAATTTGAAACATAGAATTTTTCACTTTCTTAATATTTTTTTTTAATACAGCCATGAATTTAATTCGGTATCACTTTATACCTGGCTAAACATGTTCAGTTTGGGGGCAACTGAGCATCACCAACAAAACTACAAGATCCTCACCTGGTTTATAACCTCTTAAATCAATTACCCAAACACTATGGTGCTATGAAAGCAACTGCCACAGAATTAGAACAAAAAAAAAAAAAAATCTAAATTTCATCGCACTGAAACATTTTAAAAATTATTTTTATAAAGTTGTCATCCATCCATTCTATTCTACTTAGATTTCCTTATATTCAATTTGAACATTGCAGTTGTGTTCCAATGCATTTGAAATTTACATTTTCTGACAATAAGCGCATATAATCACATTTCTTTTTGAACATTCAAGCAGCTATATACAGTGTAAGAATCTAATTTTAGGACAGAGCACTTATGCTCAACAAACACTACGCAACAAAGAAAAAAATAAGGGAGCAAAATATGATGCTAAAAATAAGTCTTGTTTTTCATGTGACTGAGCAAGTTGACTGAAAAAATGAATTCAATATCCATCTGTATCAAATGTTTCCCAGAGTCACAAGATAAGGGATTTTTTTCAGTAGGTAAAATATGTTGGACTGATATTTACTGAAATCACAGAAGCTTATATTTAGACTTTACCTAACACCTCCTCCTTTTACCTTCATCAGAAAGCAGGTAAATGGCAATATAATTTCAAGGTAAGTAATCTATAATGGCAACCCAGCCATTTCCCTGTGTAGCACTCCTAATCAAAACAGTGACTCAATTTACCTTTAGAAGGCTGTGTATATCTGACTAGTGTTACCTTTCCACATTCCCATTGACCCATAGCTGTGGTTTCTTATGTAGACTCAATTAGTGAATAGGAATTTCAATAGTTTAGTATTGTAATTTTAGTTCTTGTTTCTGAAACATTTACACTCATTGTTTTTAGAATACTCATATTCTGTTCTAATGAAACACAGTTCACCATGTCAGATCATACTTAATATTTTGAATAACAACTTCATTATATATTACTCTTTAAATAATTATTATTTCATACTTTATCAATAGGGGAAATCTTACTGTCTTTGCTATTGAATATAACATTGTTTTTGCTTATTATATATAACAATCGAGTTTCATTTAAAATTTTTAACTTTCTAAACTAAATTTTAGTAAGGAATCTTTTAAACTGAAGCCTGTATGATTGATTGGTTCTTTAACCGACCAGGCAGTCACTTCTATTCATTCATTAAATTATCAAGTTTTTCACTTAGTGCTTTCTAATAAAGAAGATGCAAAAGTATGACCTAATTTTATAATTCTTACTTTGTCATTAAACTCGTTTTCTTAGTCTGAGGTCACTTGGCTTTCAATAGTAATTATCTTTTCAAAAGGGTAGATTTAGGGATACTCCATGCATGACACATCCTGTCTTAGATAGCAAAACATATGTATATGTTTAAAGACAGGAATTATTTTCTTATACATCTTTAAATAGTATAATTCAAATTTTGTAAATCCCAGAAAATACTAATGTTTTATACTTCAAAGGAAAATAATTAAGTAAGGTTATAAACAAAAACCAATCCTGGCTTAGGGTTCATCTTACCTTGTTTTCCAGCCAATATTTTAAATAAAGCAATAGGAAAAGATATTCGGCAGTATGCTTCATGTCAGCCTGTATGTCACATTACCTTCAAAACTGAATTAACATGACAGTCCTCCAAAGTTGTGAGAGGCATTTGCAACAAGTACGATAAGGGCTGATATGCTTAATAAAGAGTATTTCATAGAAAATAAAAAGTAGGGGGGCCTGGGTGGCTCAGTTGGTTAAGTGACCGACTTTGGCTCAGGTCATGATCTTGCAGTTTGTGAGTTCAAGGCCCGCGTTGGGCTCTGTGCTGACAGCTCAGAGCCTGGAGCCTGTTTCGGATTCTGTGTCTCCCCCCGTCTCTACCCCTCTCCTGCTCATGCTCTGTGTCTCTCTGTCTCTCAATAATAAATAAACGTTTAAAAAAAAAAAAAAAGAAAAGAAAAAGTATACCTAATATAAAACTATGCAAGGTCTTGAATAATCAGCACAGGAGAAATATTTAAATTAACTTTCTCTTTCATTGTCATTGGCTATTTAGAACTATCAGAAATACATAAATAAAAAAATCATTTCACATGTGTTCTTATATTTATTTCTCTATCCTGTCTCTGTCGAGAAATGTTTTTAATGGAACACACAACACTGGTGTAGATGTAATAAGACTGACACCCATGCAGTATCCTAGCATATAATAAGCATGAGAAATGTTAGCTGCTACTGCTATTATTACAAAACCAGTATCGTAGATTTTTTTTTAAACTTTGCTAGTATGTGTTAAAAGGTTCATACCTTTTGATCTTGTGATTTCACTTCAAGAATAATTTCTAAATAAGTGACTATACATGTGGAGAGAGATGTTCAGAGGTGTTTATGATAGCATTATTTATAATAGCTCCAAATTGGAAAGATACTCCCCCAAATGGAAAAGGGAAAGGATTTTTGGCAAATCTACTTTGTAGAAATTGTGTAATTCTTATGTTTTTAGATTATTTGAATACAGAATAAGAAAGACCACGATAAAGTGGAAGGATGTTTCATTGGATGAATATAAATTTGCATAATATGAGCACTAAAAATAACTAGAAAACACATAAAATATTAATAATTGAGAAACACTGAGAAAAAATAAGTAAACTACACTTATTTTTCAAACAAATTAAAACTCAATGTTTTTGTGGGTTTTTTTTAAATAAAAAATACTTTTTGTCCCAATGGGATTATTTGAGATTTCTAATTTTTCTTCTGGCTTAATGGCTTTAAAAAAATTTTTAACATTTATTCATTATTGAGTGATAGAGACAGAGCATGAGCAGGGGAGGGGCAGAGGAGGGGGAAACACAGAATCCGAAGCAGGCTCCAGGCTCTGAGCTATCAGCACAGAGCCCAACGCAGGGCTCGAACTCACAAACCATGAGATCATGACCTGAGCTGAAGTCGGAGTCCCAACTGACTGAGCCACTCAGGCACCCCCTTACTGGCTT